AAAAAATACTAAAGAAAAATACCCTACAAACAAAACTACCCCTTGCTGGCGGGGGACTCACTCGGAGCAAACATGCCCTCAGTGAGATGGCGCGTAGCCCGCGGAGCCCCGCCCCCCAGGCTGTGCACCGAAGGGACCAGCCACGAGGAGGGAGGGCACCCACGCATGAGCCCTGAAGGCTCGGTGGCCAGGACGCCTCTGCTTACGTGCTGATAAAAGCTGGGGTCGGGGGGCACACCCAGAGAGACGCCCAGGTGACCGACTGCTGCGCCTGCAGCCCCGCCCCCCGGCCCCTGGCACCAGGGCAGGCCTGCCACTCTCCATGGACACCAGTCACCCTCGGGGGAGAGAGGCTGACTCCGAAAAACTTCGAAAGAGCCAAGGAAACCGGCTCCCGTGCAGCCCTCACTCACTTCTCTGCCCGGACTTGGGGCGGCACCTGATGGGGGACACCCCGGGCCCGCCCCGCGCACGTACCCGGCCCCCGTAGAGGATGGAGGGCGGCTGCAGGACCCGCCCAGTCACGTCAGTCATCTCATCTTTGACCATGATTCCAAATTCCCGGACGTAGGGGTCGGTGTTGAAACTCGCACTTCTCATCTTGGAAAGGGGAGAACAGGCAGAGTCAGGGGTGTCTGTGCTCCCAGAGCCGTGTCTGTCCCCACCCGGCCGCCCCCAGGACGGGACACTCACCAGCTTGCTAATCTCCTCTTGCCGATCGGGCGCCGACCTGGCCGTCGCTCTGATCATGGTTGAGGTCTGATTGTCGGTCAACTTCTTTATACATCTCTGTCCTGCCACGATGTTACAGACCTACAGAGGCACAGAGGCGCAGGCGCGGCATCAGCGCAGGGCTGGGGGGCCCGGGGCCCGGGGAGCAGGGCTGACAGCAGGACTAAACCCCACTGGTGACAAGGCACCACCCTGTGGGCGGCTGTCCTGGCGCCGGACTGTGGCCTCCGTCCTCACAGGGAAACAGCTGCCCGCCACGGATCCCTGCATTGTGCCTACATATGCAAAGTAACAGCCATTTTGTTGTCAGTTAACTGCCATCTGAGTTGGCAGTTAATTTGCATATAGCCCTGATTAGCCAATGAAAAGGGTAGCTCATACGCCAATTACCATTTTTCTCTTTTATTAGTGTAGATTCTGTTATAAAGGCAATATATATCCTCAACTAATCGACAAGTATATATTGAGAATCTATGTAAACCACCGACAGAAAAGCGCCAGGACCGGGCGCCCCCGTGGGCCCTCTTCCCAGGCAGGGCATTTTCAAACAACCAGTGAGGAAGTTCCTTCCCGGAGCAATTCTGCCCCTCGCCAGGGACATGCCGGCATGAGGCGCCCGCTCTCATCTT